GAGAATACCGTTTTCCGATCGTAAACAAAAAGCGTAAAAATCTAAATTCGAACAGAATAAAAACGGAGAAGAACGTATTTCCTCGAGTTTTGATTATGTGGTAACGTTGCCTATACGCTTGAGCACTAGAAAATATCGAATATTTCTCGTCCGATTTATGCTAAAAATCTCGATTTTCTTTGATTAGTATCTATTTAAGTACACAGTCTCGGCACGAGTACGCGCACGCTGCAACTTATGGCACTAAGTATTCACGTTATTCTCTGCGTTCTTTAATTTTTCGCCATCGCGAAATTAATCTCCTTCGTGTGCATATCATGCAAATGCGCAGCGAGTTTGTCGGAACACACAAAGATACTCCATGATAAAATTATAGGTCATGAATCGACTATTTAAGCGCAGTATTTAAAAAAAAAAAAAAGAGATAATGACGCACATTCTTTAAAATAAATCATTTGTTAAGTCATAAAAATTCTTAGCACTTTTACCGACGATTTAAAATCTTTAAAACAAATCGTTTGTTAAATCATAAAAATTTTTAGCACTTTGTTCAACGACTTAAAATCAACGATTCAATTTTCAAGGCGAAAAAAATCGATTCATAAATTTGAAATTTAATATTAAACAAATTATATTATGAGATATAAAAATAAATCGCGCTGAAATAATCGATTCTTGAAAGATTACTTCTTTATCGTAGCGTAAAGCGCTTCGATGTTTCGTTCTCTCGTATGACTATTGTCATTTATCCTTGTTTCCCTTTCCTTAAATTTTTTTCATATTTTTTTCCGCGGATCGTATTTGTTTCTTTCTTTCAATTTCTAACAAAAACCGAGAGGTTCGTACTCCTCTCGGCCCTAGGTTCGGCACTCGTAACTAGGGTTCCGATCGACCGGTGCCAAAGTCCATCTTCCAACCCCCGTACACCCTTGCATCTTCTTGCGACTGTGTCCGCGCCGAGTCGCGACAGCGAACTTGGCGAGAAGATCGCTGTCGCGTTCAATCGGCGTTCGGATTAGTTGTCCCCCTTCAGTCTGGTGCCCTGCATACAATTTTACGTATCTGCCATTAAAATCGAGGATTCCTTAAATTTACTGCCGCCAAGTGAAGCCTCAAGACATATTTTATATGTCATGAGAACAGATACATGCGCTTTCGTATACATTTCGCAAAATGACATACACGAGTACGCATTTGCGATATTTTCATTCGACGGAAATGAATACATATATGTGAATATATATGTTTATAATATAACTACATTAATAATGTATATACAATTATATTATAAACATGTAGTATATATAAGCGTAATTGCACTCATTATCAGTTGATGTCAGATTACGATTCGCTTGCATACATATACGCGTACATGTATACATTCCGAGCCGAAATAAAATATCAATATCAAGGCGGCGAATTTGCTAAAAATCCTTCTCGCGATATAGCGGGGCACCAGCAGGAGAGTTAGACTCCTCGCTCTTTCGAGGAACTCGATATATTATTCATCTTTCTTATTGTTTCTCTCATATAAGATACAAGGGTTATTAAGTACGGGGGATTGGGGGGTGGACCTCGCGCGCCCTGCCGATCAGGACTAGTACCTCACACAACTCCCTAGTTACGAGTACCGAGACCTAGTGACAATAGCTGGCTAACTCGATTGCGCACGACTTTAGCTGCATCTTCGCTCTCGCATTTATCGTCGACCGATCTCAAATATGACTTTTTGCTCTGCGTTTGCGCTGCTCTCGCTCAACTCGATCCCGATCGCACACCCGCCAACGCAATTTCGCGCTCAAAAAGATTCTGCAGTCTTTGTCTAGTACGGTCACATTCGCTCGTCGTATATCTCGTAATTCCTGTCTCGTCTCGTCTTTACATGTTTTATAGTATACTTGCCAACTCCCGGTAACCTCAAATTAAAGACAATAAATTAAACACTATAGTCTATCTCGTATTCATTAAACACGATTCACACATATTACGTCATCCTACTCACTGCCTCGCGTACCCATTCGCTCTTTATGCCTTTCATGCGTTCCCTAACTCGAGTCATTCGGTTTAAAAATAGACACAAAATTCATTTTTTTTTTGTGACGCGTATGAGCCTTAATCCTATTACGTATATCCAGATCACGATTAATATCTAGCTCAGCGATGGCCTCGACTGCTACCTAATATTTCAATCGTAGGAAGACGCGCGCTGCGACGTCACCCGCGCGCGTGTACGCCCACGAAAGAGAAGCTACCTCAGGAAAGTAGACGCCGCGTAGACGATATAATGCCTGTCGTAAACACGCCTACCGCGATAGTATCGATCATCATCCAACGCGCGGTGCATCGAGGCCGGTTTAGCTATCAAAGGCGCGCGTGCTCTCTCGCCCCTATATAGCGCTCCGCGTATAAATCGCGGTCAATAATTGCGGTATTTATATTTTTAAAAAAATAGCAAAATGAAATTAAAAAAAGAAGAGAGTATATGAAATGCAATACCGGGTTATTCGCACCCCGGGATCCTCGCCTACATCGCGATAAAATTCAGTTAATTGACCGTCTGTCTCTTCTCCTTGTCGCTATACACCTGATACGGTCTCGTGACGTTTGCGTGACATTCGAAGTAACCCGCGTGCGTTGTTCTCTTGTCCTCTCTCTCTCTTTCTTTCTCGCTCTTCCCACCCTCCTTCCCGACTCACTTATGTTCGATCGCCGTATCCCACGCAAGAAAAAAAGATGTTTTCAAACCAGTTAGACTACTGCCTCGATTTTTCTCGCGCCTCTCTATCTACCCTATCTATAGCTACTCGACGCGACCTACTTCGCTGACGATTGTCGCGCGGAAAGATCGCGAGCGCGCCCTCCTTCACTAATGCTCGTTCTTTTAAGTATCTCGTACGTCTGTCTCGTGCGTCGTGGCGTGCCGTGAGAGACCCTGAGGGAGAGACAGGAGAGAAGGCTGCAAGATAATAAGAAAAAGAGAGAGAGAGAGAGAGAGGAAAGAAGCTCCAAGATGGAACGAATGCCTTGCTCTCGAAGCGGTTTAGCGATGAACGCGCGCGAACCGCGTATCTCGTTATTTCCGATAACTGCCGGGCCTGCAGATGGAAAGAGGCCGACCGCGTCTCGGCCGCACGAAGAGCAAAACGCACGATTGGTTGCATAAGGCTGCGAACCAGCCGCGAGCTCTCGTTCGGCGCTCTCGCACCGATAATAGCCCATTACGACTGGTTTCCAAGGCGGTTTCGAACGAGAATATCTCTGAATATGTTTTGAAAGAGGATCGAGTGAGGGTCGATGTCAACGGACGACCGCTGCCTGTCTGGCTCGAAACAGATTTAGAAACATTCTTCTACTACGCGCCACAGGGACGAGACCTTACGTAATCGAGTCCGCGTCAGATCTACAACATGGTCAGGCAAAAACTCACGCGAGCTAATTACGCGCAAATTTAATCGTCGCGAAAGCAACGTGAAAGTATTGCGAAAAAAGCCAAATATACTTGGCAAACCTGACAAGATGATGGACCCAGATGCATCCGACTTCACTACGAACTTTTCCGACTTCAAAACGAATCTCTACGTCCAATTTTCTCCCTCCTTTTTTTTCCATTTGTACGCGCAATATCAACAAGATCTATACAAAAAAAAACTTAACACAAGTGATACATTTTAACAAAAATAAATGTAAAAAATGCGACGAACAAATAAAATCTACAATCTCGAATAACTAGAGAGTTTATAGACGAAGAAACAAACAAGACGATAGAATGAATGAACTCAAAGCCAGTCAAAGTGCCGAAGAGAAGATCGGCATTCATCCTCGCGGAGCAGTACGAGACACTTACAGAAAATAGATATTAAGAGAGAGTTCCAACAAGTAGCGCCAGTCCAACAATACGAGTCTCTGCGCGATCTTTTATTGCTCGTGTACGGCATACATTCTAACATAGCCCACGAAACATCGAGTAGCCCCCTTTCCTCTGCAAAGGTCGAACGAAGACGTTAACGAGGACGAGAACAGAACACTAGAAGCTTCTGCTCACATGTACCCGCGTCTCGTCATCGATCAGGTACTAAATACTGTCTCTCTACAGAGCACCAGGCCCATTCTCACGGGCCCGGGCTCGCATGTTCAAACTCCCACGCGTTTATGACCTCTATGCGAAAGCGAGTGAGAGGGCGCCGAGAGCGTCCGACCTGGCTCGCTGTTGTCAGTCACGATTAAACTACCACAGCACACAGACCGTTCCCGATGTCGTAAGAGAATGAGAGAGAGAGGGATCGATTCGTCCTTCAAAGGACGAGTGAAATTAATCATGAAGAAACGACACATTTTGTGCGATTTTCTTATGTTTTATCATCTTAATCGCGATCCAACCAAGGATGCTCGACGACACTAGCTTGACATCCACGAACGAGACAAGGTAGCGGGATGCGACCGCGAAGAAGAAGTAGAATTACGAGGATAAGCAAATAAGAGGAAGGTAATAACGTCGCGGGAAGGACAACAGAGAAGAAAGAGAAAAAGGTCTCGCAAAATCGGCACGGAAGTCGCGTAGTAGTCTATTACGAGCACGGATAAACGGCCGAGCTAATGCTATGGTAGGCGGCGAGGGCGGCGTGCGCGTGCGCGTGCGCAGGGGGCGCGGATGCGGCTGCGTGCGGCGAGGTGGCCATCGCGGATGCCGCCGCGGCTGCCATCATCATCTGTTGGTGCGTACGCTTTAGGGAGTTGGGAGTTGTGGCGGCGCTACTTGGGGTAATAGCAGTAGTAGTGGTGGTGTTCGACTGCGGCGCAGGGTGGTGGTTTTGGCTTTGGTTTTGGTTGCTCAGTTGCAGGGGGGTGGTAGTGGCGGTACTGCCGATCCCGGCGTGATTATTATTACTATTATTGTTATTATTCTGGCTCTGGTGGTGATGGTGGTGGTGGTGATGGTGATGGTGGTGGGGGGTGAGCGCGTCGTGCGGATAGTAAGACGTTGACGATGGTGAGGTACTCACGACGTCCGGCGTGCTGGCTCCGTCTGTATGACTGGTGCTGTCGGCGGTGCTTCTAGGGCCGCCGCCATCCAGTCCGTTACCCAGCTCGGGTGGCTTCGAACTTTCCCGGTCGTCGATGACGAGGTCGATCGGCATCTTGCCCTTCAGGCAGCTGATATATCGATGGCAGAAGTTGTCACAGAGTTCGTGTACCTGGAATACAAAAAAGAGAGAGGTGAATCGTTCGTTAGTCGTAAGCTAACGTTAGTCGTAGACTCGAGAACCAATTAGATCGAGTTATATCGGAGAGAACGAAGATAAGTTTTCCAAAAGATGCTTTCCAACGGAGGCAGCTGATTAACCATGCCGCCGGAAATGATTAATAGACGGATTCCGTCGAATGGATCCAATCGACTCACGGTTTCACCATAGTGCGAGAGATACGATGAGAAAGAGAGAGACAAGCAGAGAACGAGAGAGAGAGAGAGAGACGCGATCAACAGCAGGCTCAAGCGCGGCGTATCGATACACGAGGATGAAAGAGAAGGAGGAGGAGGAGGCTAGAGCGCGCATCTCGAGGTCGTGGAAGATGGTCGAGATCTGGTAGCTGAAGAGAAACCGATGCAACAAACGAACGGAGAAAGAGAGCGAGAGAAAGGGAGATGGAGAGGAGGTCTGACCGGTGTCCAGTCGACCAGAATGTTATGTATGCAAATGAGGCCTGACAGGCCTATAGGATAGTCGATCCTCCCCTCCGTCCCCCTCTCGACTCATCCTTCAGCCCTCGCCCTACCCTCGCGTCTCTCGGTCCTATCTTCCTGCCTCTGATTCGCCTCCTTGATTCCGTTTAGAATAAACGTATTATATAAGCAAAAGCAAATAAAAATCGTTATCTTGTTATATGTAAATCGTCGGCGGCGAGTCGAGGTATTATGAAGCCGTGTACGACAGTTCCCTCGCAAACGTACACCCTCTCCTCCCATCATCTTTCACTCCCGGGGCTACTACAACTTGCAAGCATTACCTTGCCTACCTTCATATCGCCCTAACGCTCATTTATAACGCTCTTATTAGGCATTTATATATAATAGAGAAGACGGCCATCTTTGCTGTAAGCGGCACCGTCCAATAGTGGTACGTATTGGGAACATGAACGTAGGACAATACGCGTGTTTATCATCTGTTAAGTATTACACATGCGAAAAGTTTCGCAATGTTTGCAAGAATTTCCGACGACCGATCGAGAAGCCTCGACGAAAGCGATTCGCCCTGGATAGTAAACTAAAGAAGCGAGTTGTGCAAAAGATCGTGCATCATTCATAAAAATAGACAAACATAAAAAAATAGATTTGATGCTCGCGGTAATCAATATAATATATAAATACATATTCTTTAATCAAACGTTTTACATATTAGATAAGATAGCGCGATTATTGAGTCGTTTTCGCTCAATTCACCAACGATGTTTCAATGACAGAATTATTAGAAGCGATCAATAATATCGTTACGAATTTTATGCAAAGTCACTACACAGGACGACGATATATTTCGCATCGATCGACAAACATTCGTCGTTTACCTCCCTTCGAAAAGTGAGAGGTTTCCCATCGGAACCGATAATGCGGTAATTTCTGATGCTCCTCGATCGCGCTTCTTTCACTGGAGTTTTTTTTTTCCTGCGCTATTTGCCTCTGATATACCATCGCGACGTAACGTAACACAATGCCTTATTCTGGATGACTAGACTCTCTTTAATACGGGGACTTTTAAGGGCGGGTGGGAAGAGACGAAGGATTCCGAAGGACAGCGGCTATAATGCCAGACTGGTTAGAATTTGATCCGCCGGGAGTCGAGTCGAACCAAGCGACAATGCTCAGCGAAAAAAAGAAATAAAAAATCTGCGTCCCTTTCCCATCGTCTAACGCTTCAAATCAACAGCCTCGTCTCATTTTGGTATATATATTACAAATAACACTAAATTTTAAAAATGTATTAATCATTTCAGTCTCGTTACGTTTTGTTAAGCAAAACAACTTGCGAGGATAAATAACAAACAATAATTTTTTTTTTTTAGTAGAAAATCAGAATAATCAAAAAATTAAGAATTTACAGAGAAATATTAAACTTTCAACTTTATTCAAACAATTTCATATTACTTCAAACAAGATTAAACTGTCACTGGTTGATAATTTCGAAATTATCGTAAGAAACATTTTTCGATAAGATCAATGACTGCTCGATACTCCAACTACGATGCAAAACATGATACGATCGCTTTAGAGCACGCGAGTTTTTGCAATCTATCCTACCATTGAATCTCTCGCGTCATCCTATACCCTATACCGTGAACGATGATCTCAGGAGGGAGACTGATACAGGATACAGGGAGGTCGTCCCAGGCGATAAAACGAGACGCTCGATCGCTCGCGTCTCCCTTTTCCAAGATCGCTTTTGGCGGTCATCGAAAGAGCAAGAGGACAACGTGGTTAGATCCGATTTTTTTCGGGGAGAGAATGTCGTCCGGGGATATCTCGTGGCGCGCGATACGACAAAGTGGTCCGTTATCTGGCAAACGAAGGCGAAACAAATTTCGCCCCGCATCCGTAATTGGATGCCGTACGAAAATAATCCCTGGGATCTGAATGTGACTACTTAATGTTTCAACGCAAGTTAAATTACGATTCAATTTCGAAACGAGGTTTATCATCGATCGAATTAAATTTTCAGTGAGAATGCCGCGATCGAAAATTTAACCGGCTTTGGTAATGCGATTTCCATCGATGTTCTCAAGTGAGAATGGAAAGCTATGCGAAATCAATGAGTAAGATTTCGCGTCTCTTTCCGGTCTCGCTTTTGCTTCTTAATTTATCGATTACATGAATAAAACAATCATCGTCATCGCATTTACGTGTGATTATTTGAAGAGAATTACATTAAATCAATCTTAATAAATATTATTTTTGAAAAATAAGATATATTATTAATAAAATATAAAAGTGAGAGATTTATTCAACAATGTTCTGTGTGTGCAAGCAATATCGCTGTAATTTGAGATTATTTTTATTTTACTGGCATGTTAACAATTTTTGAATGCGCTACGAAGACGCCTCTTTTTATATGATTGACTTAATGCGCAAAAGAGAAATCGCCGGGTTGCTTTGTCGAATTCCATTCACTATAGTTGCCTTTAAGAACCTTCCTCATGCCAAGAACGCAGCTTAAAGATCAAAATTTTATATCTAACAATAAGTCAAAATATAGGTCGAACAAAATTTACTTCGGGAATCTTAATTCTGATTCTATTCAAATTATTTTAATAATATGAAGGAAATGTGACGTGTATATTAATATAATTATTTCAAAATACATAAATTATGTATGCAAAGTGCGGAAGTGTATTGGAAAAATTTGTTAATTTTTTAGTTTATAAAAAAAATTGTTATTTATAACATTGCGTGATTGTTCTGTGCGTTTACATACCGTTTCAAAGACGAAGAACGATTACATCAAAACCAGTTTTCGATTCAGAGCATTTAAACGATTCTTCTTTTTTTTTAGCTGCCTCTGTTATCACGAAATGAGAGGGAATATTCTGCGTGCCGCGACATTTATACGAACTCGAGGACCTCGTGTTTCCTTTCATTCGGCTTCGAAATTGCTCGAAAATTTACGTAAACGAAGGAAAGAACGGGTAAAGCGTTTCCCATCTCCCTATCTTACATCCGCCCCTTCCGCCCTGCCTTGTCTCTTCACGGACTCTCGGAAAGGCAAACGCCGAAGAATGGAGCGGATCCAAGGTACATACGAGCGAGAGAGTAGAAAAGAAGGAACACGGGGAACCCCATTTACGGCACAATGGGCTCCTTTGAAGCCGAAGGTAATGAAGGTTTCGGGGTGTCTGTCCCGGTCTCCCTCTCTTGCGGCCCGATTCGCAACCTGACCACCCTTACGGCACGCACAGGATATCTGTATACCGGGTGTGCGTGGCGAACGGTTGTGCTCTCGCTTCCTTCCCTTTTCACCGATATCGATGACGACAAAAAATCCGTCCTCGAATTTTCTTTTTTATAGTCGTGAAATTAATCCGTATTTCGTCGAATAAAATCTTAACAAAGTCCACAAAGTCGTTCTCGAATAAACTTGAGACACTTTGAAATAAATTTAGATTATATCTGTTAATGAACATTTTACTTTAGAAACCTATTAAGACTTAATTCTCGCAGCAAACGTTTCGGCTAAAATCGTCAAATCACAAGATCACCGAGAAACGTCCAAAAGTACGTAAGGCACGTACATACATATGTACGCGTGCTTGGAACACAAGGATATTCTAGCAAGAGAGAGCGACGTGACGTGCGCTGGCATAGGTTTAGAACCAGTTTCGTGCGGCGCGTCCTCGGGCAGGAGGAGGTCGCCCGCGTGTTGTACCAGTACGAATCCCGTTGGTATGCACTGTGTACGCCATAATATCCCATAAGAAATTTACCGCTCTCTAACCGGTGTACGCGCGAGGCGGTTTGTCCGGAGTCCTGCGAGACGATGAAAGAAAAGAGAAGCGAGAGTAGAAGGATAGAAAGGGAGAAAAAGAGTCCGTGCTGTGCCGACAGAAAATATCGCGAAGGCAGAGAAGAAGAAAGAAAGAGAGAGAGAGAGAGAGAAAAAAAGAAGGGAAAAGAGGGCCTGACTGGACCTTCCTTCCGCGCACCGGGCCCCGGCAAAACGTAATTATGCTAATACGCGATTGGTTCGAAAATGTTAAATGCACGAGGCACAGCACCGCGGGCTACCATGAGCCTCCCTCCATTGGTTTCCTCTCTCTCTCATTCTCTCTGCGCCGCTCTCTTCTCTCTCCTTCTCTTCATCTCGCTCTCCTCCACTTCGAGCACAGATATTTATGGAATCTTCTTCATCGCGCGCCCGCTACATTCCGCTCCGCTCGCTCGCATCTCGTCTCGTCTTGTCTAGAAGAGACCCCGGAGATCAGAAACGTTTCAATCTCCGTTACCATCGATGGCGTGCCAAGCCGCGTTTCGTCTCCGGACTTCGGTGGATTCGATATATGTGATGAGGCCCGATTTACACGAAATATCGTAACCGAGTATCGGCGGCACTGCCGAAAAGTATCGTTTCCAGCGCGTTCGAGGAATACAGCCGCATTATCTTCCGCAGAGCGCGTCCGCTAATTTCTTTAATCATGTGCTTCCATTAACGAGGGCAAATTTAAAGGCACGACTAACGAGTAATAAACGTTATCGCGATAGACTGAAACGTAGCTGTAATTTGAAGCAAGCTCCAATTAGTAAATTCATTTGCCTCTCGATGCAGATAAGCCAATGCGAAGGCACAGCCGCGTTTCGATGATTTATTCGCTGGCTTAATGATCCTTCTCGTTCATTTTAAGATATGTCACCTCGAGTATTCGTGTAGAATTGCTATGAAATTTGTATGTGTATATTTCATCTGATTTTACTTTACATAGACACATGTATTCTATTTTGTGTCGTGATACCAAGATATAATCACTCTCTCTTTCTCTCTCTCTCCCAATTTTCCATCGCGGACAAATATGGATCTTGATGGAACTAACACATACTCTTCTCCCTATGCCGATAGTGACGCGTCCAAGAGCCGATAGTTGAATCCGCCGCGGGTGGTGCGGCATTATAATAATATAATCGCCGCAAATGAGGAAAATTGCTATAAAATTGCGCGCGATCAAACCGGCCAAACGGCTGGCAACGAGGGACCACGAAGAGGTCTCGAGAGCGCGCGACGGCCAATGGCTGCCGCCACGTCAGCTGCCATTTCGATGGAAATGCGATGGATGTGTCCGCTATTTTGTATGATAAAATATCGCCGCAAAAAGCGCCTGGGTAAACCAGACCCGCCTCCATATCCCGCGGGCGCAGTCGTTCGAGAAAGAAGAGAGAGAGAAAACATGTCGAAGAATCCCTGCACCGAAAGCGAGAGGAACCTGTCATCTTTCCTCTGTCTTATCGACAACATTGCAGCGAGATGAAAAAGGAACGCGTTTTCCGAGAATCTCGTGAAACACGGTGACAACGATCAAAAAGCAAAAGATTTCGCGGCGAAACGAGATCTAGGCTCTCTCGTTCGCACCGCCGGTGAAAAACCTGCGTTCTCGACAGAATTTCCCTTGACAGATGTCTCACTTTCACCGCTCACGCGGCTATATAATTCCACACCGCGGTGGCTCTGGCCGACTACTGGCTGCCTTGTAAAGTATCGGCACACATTTGTCATTTCGCTTTGCCGATCGGAAATAAGGGGAGGTATACTACAACGGACGAAAAAAGAGAGGGAGAGGGGAAAAGACAAGAAACAAGACTGTGCCGTTCCAGAGCAAACGACTGCGAACGAGGTAACGCGTTCGTCGCCGCGTTGGACAGCAAAATGACTCCACTTACGTTAGAGTCGATTCGCGTCGCAGTCTCGACGAATGCGCCGTAGTAGATCCAAGCGATTCCGAGCTTTCACTGCAATTACGGAAAATTGCCCTCGCAGTCATAACAGTCGTTTTTCAGGTGTTAAAAGCGACTTATCGCCGAGCGAACACGGTAATCTCTTACAATACGACCGATCGCGAGAATTTCCAGTCGGTCGTACACTAGTCTTAAGTAGAAAACTGCTTCTTACGGTATGTGAATTTCACACCAAGTTTTTAAGTACTTTCAGAATCATTTTCAGAATCAATTTTTTTATTTTAATTGGGGATAAAATATATAGCTATACGCGTAAAACAAATTGCAAAGAATAAGATGTGAGAAAGTCGTAATAATTATAGAAAAATCTATTCATTACCTTAAAAAAAATAAAATAGAGATGCAAAGATTAAATAATAAATCTAGATAGTAAAGAAATAGATTTTAGTAATGTATCGCGCATATGTACCGTCACGGATTGGATCGCTAATAACGTTATGAGTCTTGTAATGCAGACGTGAAAAATACTCACCTTTTCGAGCTCGAGGAGGTGAAACCGGAGGACTTGGATCGCTTGAACCATCTGAAACGAGAAAAAAAGAATTGAATAAAAATGCATTCGGTGGACGCGGGAGACAGAAAAAAAGGCATCGGAGGCTGGTTCGGATCAGGGGAAGAAGAGGCGGCGAAGGAAAGGCTACAGAGAGGGATCGAGAAGTCGAGGGAGGAGGCAGAGTAAAAGGAACATGAAGCAGACATGATTTAATCACACGCTGCTGCATCGTCAACGGCAGCAGCCCGGCAACGCAGATCGACCGTCACGGTTCTCCGGCGCGGATTCGACCTTTTTATTTGCACGCCCTCTCACGCGCTTCCATTTATCTCTTCCGGTAAATATCGCGACGGTTATTAACGGGAATTCATTATTATTGCATCTTGCATTCCGCTAATTACATATCTGAATTCGGTCGCGCGGAATTCGGACGGTACTTGATATCGCGGGTAAATAACCACGTAGGTGTCCATAAGGGAGGGGGGGGCTAACACGGAACGTTCGTTAACCGTGAGAATGGCTACTCCATTTAACTCGAGAGTTTTCGAGAAAAGAAATGTTGCGAGAAACATATTTCCGGAAAGTAATTTTTCCTTGACGTCTCCAGACGCGCGCAACGCTTGTCTGTAGCGATATTTAGAAAAACGTCAATGTTTAGATACAGTTCGAGAGAAATGTATCTGTGCGAAATCGAAAAGTGTGATAGTTGTCATCTGAAACGTGATTGCGCGGTATCAAAGGCGCAGTCTCGGCAGGACCATCGGTATAATTTTCTGATACGCCATTAACGTTAAAGGCCACCCGAGATTCCCTCCCCCTCCACCCCACGCAATCTCATCGCGAAAAGGAGATCGTATGTTGCGGCAATGTTATTCTGTCCTCTCTCTCCTCCTCCTCCCCCCATCGGAGAGGCAGCGAAAGAGGCGATTCAATTAAGCAAAGCGGCAATCTTAATTGTTAATTAACATTATATTTATGCAATTATGGTCCATTATGATTCCGCGCGGCCGATAACGAAGCGGTCGCGATGAGTGCTCCCCGAGATAGTGGACTCCTCCGAAGCCTGCCCACCTTCTACCTTCTCGTCGTCTTTTCGCCGAGGAAGGATATGCTCTTAAGCGAGACAGGACAGGCATAACACCCGTGCTTGTAACCATCACCAGTACGAGCGACAAGCGAGCCGAGAGATATCGGCCTTTGCGAAGTGCATTTCGTTGCTCGTACGCGGTAGATGGAAACGCCATTCGCGTTTCGAATGAAATAAAATCGAAGATTATGGGGATATGCACTTATTGAAAAATTTATGTTTTATATATACTGCCCATAGAGATACATGGCTAATATCGAGAATAAAGTAGCGATAATGTCTCCTTCCTTCCATGTCAAAAATAAAATATGGATGTGTTATGAAAGTATCGTAAATATCCCTATATTCTACGAGTCGATTATAGTATAGTAGAAGTTGACGACAGCAAAGAATCGAAATCGCCAGAAGAACGGAACAATCCTTCGCATTGTAAGATGGAGCGTCGGCGTTGAAGGAATATGTATCGGGTCTTCGACACTTCAGGGCTCCTCCTCATCGGCGAGCGGACAGCGAAAAAGGAGCAGAAGAAAGGGAGGAGGGTGGGAAGGGCGAGTAGATAGGAAGAGAAACAAGAACGCGACGGAGCCGACAGAAAGAGAGAGGAAGAGACAGAGCGGGAGAAAAAAAGCGAAGATGGTATCGGTCCAGTAACGAACACACAACGCAGAACACCCGGGTGCTCCCTCGCGAGATGTTGCGAGGAGACGCGATTCGCCACGATGTCTTTCTCGCTCTCTCCTCCTCGCAACCGACGTTACACACAATGTGTTCTCTATATCCGACGGGTTTTGTTGCTCGACCGACCAATAACGACTTAGTTACCACGATGCAGCGCCAGCTTTTATCGTTAACCGATCTCCCGCGAATGGGCATCGCGAATATCCTTCGCATTCCGATACAAAATTGTAGAAGTTATGTGAGAAGTAATTCACTTTTTTCTTTATAAAAAAAACACAAAATAAAAGTTCATTTATCAATCGTAAAATTATATATGCGTGTTTCAAAATATTTTCAAATTATTCCATTGTCTACTTTTTTACATATTTTATAATAATTGCGAAAGAAAATTTATAATTTCGTCAGGAGAGATATATAAATAATATTTTCGCTATCCTTTCGGTACTTAGTTCTTTAACAACAGTACGTTGTCTGTATGACATAGCTATTCGCGAATGAAATCCCTCGTGATGTCTAGTCCAGGCCACGTCTCCCGTCACTCACTCTCTCTCTTACAATTTCTCGCCGGCTCTCTTACTGCGCTCGCGATCTTTCGGCTCGGGAGGTTTTGCCACGATCGCTCATCACGTGTTATTAATTAGGCTTGCGAGCGGCGGTCGAGTATCTCGAGCTCGGGAGACAGGAGATCCGAGCCGGAGGAGGAAGAAGCGGAGGCAGAAGAAAAACTGAGAAACGCACGAAGAAACAGGGAGATGGTGTTATTTATAAGCCGACAGGGACGACGCAGTCGGAAGCAACGCCCGGCGACGAAGGGTGCCCCCACTTTAAGTCTCCCCTTTCACTCTCTTTCATTCCTTCGTCATCATATATGCGCACTTCTCTCTCTCTCTCTCTCTCTCTCTCTCTTTACCTTCCCCTTCGCTCCGGTCGCTTCCACTCGAGCGCCACTGCACCGTGACGCGCGATGCATGCTGCACCAACGAATGCGTGATGTATGTGCGAGATACGCGGGATGCGCACGTACGAGCGTAAATGAGTGCGGGGATTCGCGCCTCGCGGATGCTGGGGCTTCAAAAGTCTCGCGGCTACTCGCGAATATATTTTGCGAATACCCAAGACCACCCGTTCGCGTCCTAAATAAGTATGACGAACCAAAGAATTTTATCTCGATAAGAAAATTAATTTAGAAAAACTTTTTAAAATCGCGTTCCCAAAATAATAATAATGTCCAATTAATAATAATAAATATTTCAAAACTCGTAGCAAACAATGGAAAAAGTCCATATACTTGTTGCCGAAGTTCTCGATTAATTTACGCAACTCTCTTTAAATCAACGAAATTAATTGGATGCTGTGAATGACGTATATGCAGGCGTGCATCACTGCCCCACTTTTGCCGTTCGAATCCATTACACGCGCATCCATATATCAAACAATTCGTTCTTCTCTTTTATAATTCGGAACTTATACACATAACCGTAATATAGATGTAAATTTTGCGATTAAAATGAGTATCAAGGTTAAAGAAATAATAAATAAAAAATTCGCGTGTAGAGCAGGTCAATGCGTTTCTGTTCGTTATAAAGCAACGCGATTAGCATCTTATAATTGATTGCGACGATTTTTGAAGGAATTAAATTCGATCTCGGCCGCCGATCATAAATCTTGGCACCGGTGATATACCGGTAGTTTTCAACACTTTCAACAAGATTGTACGATGAAATTGTGATTCGGCCTTGACGAGATCGTTTATATCTCGCAGCCAGGTCGGTACCCGCATAAGGTGGATCTTGCACCGGACAGATGGGCTCGTGTACAGCTCATATTAATTAGTCCGCATACGCGCGCGGCGACGAAAAAGGAATGGGACGACGTCCGACGAGCGAAAGTGAGATCACGAAAAAGGTGAAGAGATCATCGGATAAAGAGAGACAAGAAAGAAAGAGAAGAGAAGCAAAAGTGAATGGTCGACTGTGCGCGACGAGCGGATACTTGTTCACGCGGGAAAGAATTCATAAAGCCGCAATGCATATGCATAAACGCGGCCACGTCGACAAGAAGCATCGTTATCGATTCGAAATATCTAGTTAATTAACAAACCCGTCGCACCTCCCACACGAATTCGCGCGAATGCTGTTGTCTCTCTCGCATCCTTTGCCTGCGGAGAAACGTTGGAACCGCAGATATATAAAAGACTGACAATTCGCGACAACGACGATCGAACGTGGAAAAGATAAAAAACCGAAGGAAAACGAGCAATCTCATATAGCCTTAACAATCGTAAAACTGTTAATAAAAATCGCGTCGATTCCCGTGAGATTGTCGTGTTCCAGGATAATACGCCGCGAGTCTCAAGTCGAGTGCATAAACGGCACGCTATGAAACAGCACGAGATCGCGATATTTGCCGCTGATATAATTGCCCGAATCAATTTTAATCGGATCCGGGCATCCGATGCGAAATAAAATGAGCGAAGTAACCCCGTCGATAAATATATATGTAAATTATCGGTTCGCAGATGATACAAAGATGGGCGAGAAATCGAACACGTGCGCTATAATACCGAACGAAAACAGATCGGCTACACATTGCGTCACGCCGATGCGAGAGTGCCACATTCTGGGCCTGTGTATGCGAGCGGCTCTAATGAATGGACGTTAATTGTATCAATTATTAACGAGGGACGTCGCGCGGACGCCGCGACGACTCTTATCGATGTCCAGTGATTTACGAGGCGAACGTTCTCTTCCCCAGATTACCCAAGCGGTTCTCTCTTTCTCTCGCTCCTCCATTGACTTTTCTCTCTCTCTCTCTCTCTCTCTCTCTCTCTCTCTCTTTTTGCGAGCGGCTCTAATGAATGGACGTTAATTGTATCAATTATTAACGAGGGACGTCGCGCGGACGCCGCGACGACTCTTATCGATGTCCAGTGATTTACGAGGCGAACGTTCTCTTCCCCAGATTACCCAAGCGGTTCTCTCTTTCTCTCGCTCCTCCCTTTCCTTTTCTCTCTCTCTCTTTTTGACTCATCAAATGAGAATTTCGTGCCGATTATAATTGCTGTGTCAGATTACCAGTCGCTCGCGACGTCCCGATTGCTTCATTATCGCTTTGTGCTCGACGTTAAACTTGTAGAGAAAAAATAAAATCTCGCGTTGACGAGCATTATCGCCGACGATGTCGCCCGATGTCGACCCGTGGCAATTAATTTTCAATCTACCGACGTGACACGATTGTATTCGACGTCCGTGGCAATCCGTGTGAC